AAGGAGAGTCAGGAGTCCAACTGGTTCTCCGCACCTTCTGCTCTTCGAGTTTATGGTAGGCATCAAAAATGAAAATTCTCTGATCGTTTCCTCACCCTTCACTTGTCACAAACCTGCTTTGGTTTCTTTCTTCTCTTTAATGCAAAAAGAAGATGTTTTGAAAAATGGTGAAAACCAGAAGCCATTGATTTACATTTTTTTTACGTATTATGTGTGTCAGTGACTACCGGTTTCAATTGAGGGTAATTACTTTAAACTTCTAATAACCGATTTCACTATAGCAATATTTTACTTGACATTAATTAAGATATTAGTATTCAGCTTAAAAGGAAATTTAAAGGCATAACTAGGTTAACTAGGCAGGTTAGGGTAATTAGGCAAGTCATTGTATAGTGATGGTTTGTTCTGTAGACTATGGAGAAATTGTATTCTTATTTATGCTTTTATTCTAGCCGAAATAATCCAAATAAGACTTTTTTCAAAAGAAAAAAAATAACAGGAAATACTATAAAAACTTTCTTGCTCTGTTAAACATCATTAGGCTAATAAGTTTGACTTCAACTGTACATTTGTTAAATCTCATATGTTAATCATCATATTTCCGGTATACAGGTCAATATCTCAACCTGGATAAGGACCATAATGGGATGCTCAGTAAGGAAGAGCTGTCTCGCTATGGCACTGGAACACTAACCAGTGTTTTTCTCGACCGCGTCTACCAGGAATGCTTGACCTATGATGGTGAAATGGTATGAATAAATCATGAATTTGCATCACACAAAGTATTAGATACATATAATACTCACCATAAATGAGCACACAGATCTTTCTTTTAAATATATGTTTTCTATAGGATGCTTTACAATAATATATTTGTGCATATACACTAGATTGGTTAGCATCAAAACCGGATCAAATATGAAAAATACTTAAGATCACAGTCCAAAAATTAATATGTTAGGGGAAAACATAAAATACAATTTTAATAAACAGGGAACAAGTTAAGAGAAACTTACAAAAATATAAAATTTTGTAATTTTTTTTTGCAGTCACTTGAATTAATTTAAATGTATTAATGTTTCTTACTAATCCTAAAGAATTTCCTTGACCAATTTGTAATGGATATTTTAACGGATATCACTCTTCAATAAAACTGTTTTGTTAAAATCCCCCAAAATGAAAGGCTATTTTACTGAAAGATTGATAATAATATTCATTTCGAACAAAGGGTGTACTCATTATATGTACAGTATACATTTATGCTGAGCACTGTACATATATACACTGTTCTCCTCTAAAAATAAGGGGATTGGTCGAAAATGGACAAAAGAAACAGGTGTAAACCCTTATCAACTTACAATCTGATTGGCCAAAATGCATTGCAGACAAGGCCTAATTAAACAGCGCTCCAACATATGGTGCAGTAATGCATTAGGAGCCTTGTAGATGTATTACATGTTACTGAAGGTAGTGTTTAGATAAAAAAAACAAATAATGTGAAATATTATTCTATTTTTAGAAATAAATATTCTAAAATTTATCCCTGCGATGACCTTTTTCTGCAGCCATTACACTAGTCTTCATTGTCATGATATTTCAGAAATGATCTAATATGCTTACATGGTCTTCAAGAAATGTTTATTATTATTATTATATATTATTATGATGAAAATATTGATGCTTATTTGTTTATTTTCTTTGTCAAAATCATGATTAATGTCTCAATAAAGAGCAATAGTCAACTTCATTCATTGTCCTTTGGCTTAGTCCCTGATTTATCAGAGGTCGCCACAGCAGAATGAACCGCCAACTATTCCAGCATATGTTTTAAGCAGTGCATGCCATTCCAGCTGCAACCCAGTATTGGGAAACACCGATTACATTCACACACACACACACACACACACACACACACACTAAGGCCAATTCACCTATAGCGCATGTCTTTTTATTGTGGGGGAAACCGGAGTACCCGGAGTAAACCCATGCCAACACGGTGAGAACATGCAAACTCCACACAGAAATGGGCAGTTGGGACTTAAACCAGCAACCTTTTTGCTGTGAGGTGACAGTGCTAACCACTGAGCCACCATGCTGCCGCAATAGTCGACATATAACTTTATAAAAATACAGTATGTTCATGTTACAACATAACTGTAATATAAGATACTAGTCGAGTCAAATGCACCCCCATAAACGTTTACCACTAAACATATGCACATAATTTTCTTGTGCACGTGTAGATTCATACATAATATCCATTAACGTTTTTATTATCTGAAAATACCTGTATTTAACAACAATATTAAAATATATATGTTCTTTCCAATGCCTCCATTCAGGACTATAAGACCTATCTGGACTTTGTGCTGGCTCTAGAGAATAGGAAAGAGCCTGCAGCCCTCCAGTACATCTTCAAACTCCTGGATATGGAGAACAAAGGCTATCTCAATGTGTTTGCCCTCAACTACTTCTTCAGAGTAAGGACTTTTTATATTTAAATCCAGCAAAAGATTATATATTATAATATGTACAGCTGAAGACATAATTATTAACCCTCATGTGAATGTTTAATTCTGTTTCAAATATTTCCTAAGGGCTGTTTAATAGATTTATAACACACTTTTAAATATATGGAGTTAACTGGTTAACAAAAGTTTGGCAGCAAGACCATGCCTCACCTTGCCTCCTTAACAAATCACCTACTTCCTAAAACTTATTTAAGGCAAACCAGCCCTCAAGCACTGTTCTTCCTCTTCTCTCGAATCCAACCTCCCTCTATTTCTTTGCTTCCCATTAACAATCCTCATAACCCTCTCTTCCCTCCTAGATTGTATCAAGGGGGGTCCTAATCACTCTACCTAAATATTACAGAGACGGTACCCCCACTCTGAGTCTCTGGGCATCATTGTAGGATGCCCGATCAACCTACCTACCTGTTCACTATTTATTCTCTTAATTCCATTCCCCTTCATCCATACATCCCTACAATATCTAGCCCAAAGTGTGGGGTGGTCCATGCTGGTGAAAGTAGTTTTAATGACTAATTTCTTTTGTCTTTGACATGATGACAGTACATAATATTTTATTAGATATTTTAAAGAAGAAAACTGGAAGTTTTTAGCTGTAGACAATTTATTAAATATTAATTATTTAAGCTCAACAGCGCAAAAGATAATAGTAATCCAAGTTAGACCAATATTGCTGCGATGTTACTGGACAAACAGAAAAGCTGACAGTCTATCGTATAAATATCTGATCTTTAGTTATTTTAGTTTTCTTCCCTTACAAGTACAAGTGGACAGTTTCATGGCATGTGCTTGTATTTATTTATTTTTTTATGAGGTTTTTACTTTTGTTTGCACTTGAACAGTGAATTGTTATGTCCATGTCTGGCACAGAACATCATTTAAATTAAATATTGATCATAAGTAGTAGTAAAACTTTATTGTCCTTGACAGGAAATTTGTTATGAGCATCACCATATTGCTGCACACATTCCATAAAAACAAACAATAAAAACAATACAGAATACAGAAGTTACAATCAGGGGCACCTGCAGGATTTTATTGAAAGGTACACACATATCCAGCACCACCCCACCTCATCATCCCTTATTCTTATTTCAATCTCAAAACACACTGATGCTTGCTGTCAAAGGCTACATTATTTAGGGCATTGTCGCCAAGTGAAACCTAGAAAATGAAAGCACATCATTGTATCTTATTCCTAATATATTTTTTGTTGGTCGGTTTGTCTACTGGATAAACAAGAATAACGAGTAACATCTGAGGTGAAGTGCTTCAAAGTCTCAAACTCTTTTGAAAGGGTGAGAGAACTCAGAAACTCTTTGTTAGACTGAAGATGTCTGCTCATTTGTGCCAGTCTGTCAGATAAAATTGTTTAAAACACGTTGAAAGGTAGCTGTTCCGTGGGAGGAGGCTGGGCCTGGAGTTCCCCCGGCTCAGGTGCTGATGAGATTGCGGTCTCATGAGCAATATTTGTGTCATTAGTTTTAGGCCTTTTGGCAAATGTCTTGATTAAGTTTAGCTGTTTTAAAAAGAGTTCACTCATTTTGAACCTTTTAAACAATTGCTATCCGACTTGTAATTTTTAGTGCGTAAAAAAACTGCCAGCAAACTAAAGCCAATAGATTTCTTTATGTATCTCCCACCATGCAAGTACATGCACACTTTAAAACACACAAACGCACACCTTATTTATTCTCATTCGTTCTTACTTTGTCAATATATCTTAGTGTATACTGATTAATAATAAATTTGAATTGTAAAAAATAAATAAATAAAAAAGCTGCATTAATTCGCACCCTCTCATGGTAGGTACGCACTGTGCGTACAGCTGCAGGCACCATTGGTTACAATAATTATAATGCTAATTAAGATAAACACTTGTTAAATAAATCCACTGAAACAGGTACAAATGATTTCTTATATCAGTTCAACCTACTAGTTATCTATCATTTCCTTGCTCTGATAAACATCACTTGAGAAATAGTTGATAAATAGCTAACATTTAATAACTCTATTAGCTCTAAGCAGAAACTAACCGATTTATCTCTCTCTATATATATATATATCAGGCCATTCAGGAACAAATGAAAATTCATGGTCAAGAGCCAGTTTCCTTCCAAGATGTTAAGGTAAATGACCTTCTGTGCATTGCCAATTATCAGCAAGTCATTTTATTGCAGGTTGCTGAATAACCACCTTCATGTATTTTGGTTTCTGGCTTACAGGATGAAATCTTTGATATGGTGAAACCCAAAGATCCATATAAGATCACTTTGCAGGACCTGGTCAACAGTGGTCAGGGTGACACCGTCTCTAGTATCCTCATCGACCTCAATGGGTTCTGGACTTACGAGAACAGAGAGGTTCTGGTGGCCAACGACACCGACAGCAATGCTGCAGATTTAGACGACACATGACATCACAAATGCAATAGTCAAGCCACTCAGAAAAACACACCGAATTCCAGAGTTGTATGCTGAATTGTTTATTAAGTAATATTATGTACAAAAACAACCTGTATTTTTCTTTCACCTACATTATAGAAAGGTAGGTGCATTTTCACCTACATAATACAAAATTATTGTACACAAATAAATTAAACAGTCTCCAAAATGAAATGTTTTCGTTTGTGTAACAGGGGTAGACTCAAATCTAATGAGTAAAGCACATTCACAGCAAAAATAATGAAATAATGCGTTCACATAACAACAATATATGGTTAGAAAAATAAGCCTAGAATATTTCCTTTCTGATCATTGAACACTACATCATCAGTAACAGAAATGTTTTGAGGGGACCTTTTATGCTCATTTTTCACAAGATGTAAAAGAAGTCTCTATACTATATGTCCCTAGAGCAAGGGTGCCCAAAAATGTGCTGTTTTGGTGACTGTTGCTTTAAATTCAAATGAGATTGTGCTCTTTTTAAAAGAGGGCGGAGCTACAAATGCTTATGCTTTAGCTTAGTGGCAGATTTAAAACAGCTAAGGATGGCTGCTTCTCCCTCAAGGCTGTTTATGCTAATGAGGGAGAGATTATCACTAATGGGAGGGGCTTTGCCCTTCGGACATGTACAAAGCGAGAATGTCAATCAAAGTGTTTCTAAAGACTGTTTATATCAAGTGTGATAAGAAAAAAATTGAATTTTGTCCATACGAAGTTATATATATATTTACAGACTGTTGCTACACCACTGTGTTTAAACCCCTTACAAAAGTGATTTTTACATAATAGGTCCCCTTTAAGACTAATCTGACAGCATCTTTATCTAGATTGATTGACAAGAGTCATGCATTTGTTGTAGTGTTAGCAGGCTTTTTAGGTGTTTACAATTATTCAAACGTACAGCGAATTGTTGTAGTGACTAAGAGAGGTTTTTATGTATGGCTTCATAAAACGATCATTCAAATAGATCTGCGTTCAAAAGCAGAGCCATTGTCAGCTATGTATATACGACAGGTTACCTTCATGTTCAACTTCATGAGATTCGTCCCACAAAAAAGAAATCTAGCACGCCTTTAGTCTACAGTAAATATGGTGGAAGCATGAAACACGCTCAGGATTTTAGGAGGGAATCGGTGCAGGCACTTTATTCGCGGCATCAGGGCTGGCATGGGATTCCTGCTCCAGCTCAAAGGTCACGTTCACAAAAGACGCAGTGGCTTCTGGTTGCTCCGTCTTTGGTTGTTGGTTCTCCTGATTGTGCTGCTCATCAAAACGTCGCTCTGCTTCTTCAGAGAGGCGGTTCTCCTCTTCTTCTTCATCCTCCTGCAGATTACACATTTTTAGGGTTCTCACAAGGCCAAAGCCTCATGTAGTATTTGCACTGATATCGCAGTGTGTGCATCTGCAATAGTCACAATGAAGGATCTGCAATGTTGACTTGGGAGTATACGTAGCTGACCAGGAGCCACAGATCATACCATTAGATTTGTGGAGTCATTTTTTATTTTGATGGAGAAAAGTTGGTAACACTTTACAATAAGATTGTGTTAAAGCATTTACTAACATGAACAAACAATGAACAGTGCATTTATTACAGTATTTGTTCATGTTAGCTGATGAAAATACACAGTTCATGTTAACTCAAAGTGTATAACCTAATGTTAGCAAGCATGAATTTGGATCTTAATAATGCATTAGTAAATGTTGAACTGCAATTAATAAATGCTGTACACGTATTGTTTATTATTAGCTGATGTTAGTAAATACATTAACTAATGAAACCTTATTGTAACATGTAACCAAAAGGTTTATCATTTGCATGTGTCTTTAGGGTCTGTGACTGTATGAGGATATCAAGAGAGTTCAAAGCATTCAGGCACAAGAAATTGTACCGTTTGTAACTTTCATTTTATTGAATTATTTATAGGATGAAGACTATGCAGTGCTATTTTACATTTGATTATTCAATTAATGTACCAGAATTCTTACCAAATTGAGCTATTTAAGGCATCTGGTAAAACTGTATTCATATCACAGTGTATCAGAAAAAACAAAATATCACAATGTAAGATTTTTGTGCAACCATATTAGTAACTGCTCATGTGTCAAAGATGATAAATATTTTTAAAGAGCCCCTATTTTGCATTATAAAGGGTCATATTTTGGTTTTGGGGGTCTCAAACAACAGACTAATATGCATGCAAGGTCAAAAATAATATACATTTTTTACCTAATTATCCCAATGACTCCTATATGATTCGTTCAGCTATTAATTTGTTCCCAAACCCCTCCTTAGCACAAAGCTAAACTGCGCTGATTGGGCCGATGACCGACGTCTGTTGTGATTGGTGGATTGAGTTCAGCGCGAGATGAAGAGAAAGGACCACTGAGGCTATAAAGTAGCACACGGAGTATGTGAGAGCCCAATGCAGGAATGCATTGAAGTAATGCAGTTTCTTGCCAGTTTAAAAATTCGTTTACATTGGTAAGGAAGAAGCACGCTTCGTGTTTTTAATTTGGTTTTGGATGCAATATGTGAATAGCCCCATGAAGGTTTAACCTGAGAGATACAGTACAAGCACTGATCTATTATGATTACAAGCCGTGCGGGGCGATTACAACTTATAAAACACAAATATATATTTTGCAAACTACACAAAACGATGCAACAATGTTATTTACACTTAACATGTTAGGATCCGGAGGAAGAAGAAACTGATCCATATGAACTGTACCAGTTACTGACAAAGTCCCTGTCAAAGTCTGATAAAGTCCCATACATAATAGTCTCTGCTGCTCCTTCCTCTAATAGTAAACGGCCGACGAGTCCCTGGTTACAGCGCAGGTTATTGTATCAAAAATCAGAAAAATGACTGGAACAAAATGAACTTTAACCCTTTATTCCCTACAGCTGAATCTCCATCTGTAAATGAGCCTCATCTTCGCGTCATGACCAGTCTCGTGATCCACCTCGCTCCGCTAGTGTCTGAAGGGAAAGCGCGTTCACATTTTACCAGACCTGGAACTACATATTTGGTGATGTACCGTACCGATGTTGACGCGTTCAAGCGAAAGATCCGAACTCATTCGATTCATTTATTTGACTCTGAGTCGACTATTTCGTTAAAGAATAAATAGTTTTAAAAACTGTGCTCTTTCAGATTCAAACCTCAGCTGGATGTTTTCATTCACTTAGTGCTGTATTATACATTACATGGAAGGTCATTTTCAAAAATCCATAATAAGGGCTCAATAGGGGCTCTTTTAATCGATAAAAGAAAAAAAGTATATTACAGTGTCATCTTTGACCCACAGGCTACACGAGTTAAAAATTTATTGTACTTTCACAAAAAAGAATATAAAATATATATTATAAGCTATATTACACTATATACTATATTTTTATATATAATGCACTAATTAGTGAAGGCTGTAGAATAATCCAATTTGTGTACAAACCTCCTTCTTCATCCTGTAGTATTCATCAATTGCATACTGATATTTTGGTGTTGTGATTCCCAGCAATGAGGCCATTTTCTCTCCAAGATAGTCGCAAACTGAAACATATTGGTTTAATTAATGTATTTAGACTATTTATGCAGTAGCAATTGTAACAGACTGGAGAGAGTTTCGTTACCCGAGACGGTCGAGGTCGCCACTCTCCACATTTGAAACCAAAAATATGGACCCCAGGTCAACTTGGACTACAAATCAGAGATATCAACTGTTAATGAGCGCAAGATGAAACTGAGAATGCATTAATATTCACTAATCTGATGCCACTCACCGGATCCACTGTACTTATACTGTTCTTTTTCTTCACTTCTTCTTCCTCCTCCTCTTCATCGGTACTGAATTCCTCCATTGTTTCACCGCTTGCGAAGTAGATTGTTCTGCGAGGAATCTTTGGCTGTTTTTTGCCCAGATCTCCAAGTTCAACATTTTCAAACTCTTTCACCACAGCTGAAGTCTAAACAAGCAGATTATTGTTACTTAGTGGTGACTTTTTTTCAAATTTGTTTTAAGACAAAAACTGTTTTAGTTTTAATATATAGTTTAGTTTTAGTTTAACTTTGGGGCAGCACGGTGACCCAGTGGTTAGCATTGTCGCCCTACAACAAGAAGGTCTCTGGTTGGAGTCCCGACTGGGTCAGTTGCCATTTCTGTGTGGAGTTTGCATGCTTTCACCGTATTCGCGTGGGTTTCCTCCGGGTCCTCCAGATTCCCCCAGTCCAAAGACATGCACTATAGGTGAATTGAAAAAACTAAATTGGCCGTAGTGTAAGTGTGTGAATGTAAGAATATTTAGGTGTTTCCCAGTGCTGTGTTGCAGCTAGAAGCAAGTGGTGCTCGCTGCAGAGCCATTTGGGCGAGCTGAGCTCCAGCAAGGGGGAGCTTGAGCTTGAGCTCCACCTTTTTTGCACTTCTTCTACGAGTGATGTCACTGGGGGTAGGGTTAGGGGTGGGGTTGGTGTACGCATTAAAACAGCTTACAGGAGGAGGAGCGAGAGCTCATGCTCCCCCTCACTGGAGCTCAGCTCTGCTCAAATGGCTCTGCAGCGAGCACCCTCTCGCTAGAAGGGCATCCGCTATGTAAAACATATGCTGGATAAGTTGGCAGTTCATTCCGCTGTGGCGACCCCTGATGAATAAAGGAACTAAGCCAAAGGAAAATTAATGAATGAGTTCAACTTTGATAAAAGGATCTGATCCATTTCAAATGTTGACTACTGCAAGATAGACTACTCCAGATAGACTTATAATTTATATTGTTAAGTTATTGTATAATAGATTGTACTATTTTGTAATTGTAACATTTAGTTGTTCATTCATTCATTTTCTTGTCAGCTTAGTCCCTTTATTAATCCGGGGTCGCCACAGTGGAATGAACCACCAAATTATCCAGCACGTTTTTACGCCCATCCAGCTGCAACCCATCTCTGGGAAACTTCCACACACACTCATACACTACGGACAATTTAGCCTACCCAATTCACCTGTACCACATATATTTGGACTGTGTGAGAAACCAAATTATCGTGCGGATTGATAGATAGTAGGGTAGGGTTGTAGCGATTTGAGACTTTTACGATATGATAATCATCTTAGAAAATATGACGGGATATTTGTGGAGTCATTGTAAAGTATAACCATAACAGAGTGAAACTTTATAATTTGCATGCGTTTTAAAGGCATTTAAAGAAAATTTTAAGTATCCAGGTGCAAAAAAAAGTAAATGTGTAATTTTAATGAGGAGTTGTTTTACTGAATTAATACAATGAAGACTATAGAGTGTTATTTTACTTTTCATTATTCACTTATGTACCTGAATGCTGTTTGACTCTCCAGAAAACCATTAGGCACTGTTTATTTCCCTTTTTTGTTGCTCTGTTGTAATTATTTTTGCTTGCAACTTAGAAAATTACTCCAATCAATCCTAATTGATGATTTCTTTATTCCTGGTGAAGTTATATTCATATTGCAACATGTATTGCAGAAAAAGTCTCCTTTACAAAAATAAATATTTAAATAAAATTTAAAAAGTAAAGCTATACATCTCCCAGTTAAAAAACAACAACTTAAACTATTTAACAGAAAGCAAGGATATATATATATATATATATATATATATATATATATATATATATATATATATATATATATATATATATATATATATATATATATTTTTTTTTTTTTTTTTTTTATGAGGGAAAAAGTGGCATTTTTAAAGATTTATTTTTTTTGGTGAAAAACTGAATAGAATTATTTAATTCTTTAACAGTTCAGTACACATGATTTGTTGAGTCATTGTGAATTTCGACCATAATCTATTAGTGTGTTTTTTTTACACTGATTCTGTAGATTTAGGGAATTTAAGAAAATTTAAACCATTTGAGAACAAAAAAATATAAAGTTTAACAAAGATTAATTGTGCTTAACTATTTATCAAATGAAGACCACACAGTGTTATTTTAGATTTAATAATTGAATTTCTTTACCTTAATATTGTAACATTCCACCTAAAACCATGAAGCAGTTTATTTCGTTTTTATCTGTGCTTTAATTTTTTATTACATTCTTAATATTTATTTTTTGGATATTTTATGCAGATGCACTCCCCTACAAAATCATCCCAATCAATGCAAAATTGTGAATTCTTCCCAAACAGTTACTTAAGTCATATTGGGAAATTATATTCATGTCGCAATATATAATCACAGAACTACAAAGTATTGCAATGTCAGTTTTTTCCGAAATAATGCAGCCCTAATTTTGTGTTTAATAACATATTTATTAAAGTTTTTTTAAACAATATGAATGTTAACGATATGATAATCATATACATTCAAACCGTGATAAACCATGATAGTGGTATACCGTTACAACCCAGACAGACAGACAGACAGACAGATAGATAGATAGATAGATAGATAGATAGATAGATAGATAGATAGATAGATAGATAGATAGATAGATAGATAGATAGATAGATAGATAGATTATAAAATTATATAGATGGAAATAAATAGATTTAGTGATTGATATAAGAAAGAAATTTGGAGACTGGTATACCATTTTATATACATTTCAAATATATGGTTATATAAACTGTAAATAAACAAAGTAAAGGAAAACCACTGAGATAAATAAATGATACTTATCATTTACGTTGTTCTTTTTTTCTCAAATACATCATTAATGTATAAATTAGATAGCTGTACAGCTAGATAGACAGACAGATCGATGTGTAATTTATAGTTATTTATACTATAAAACTGTACAGATAGATAAACGTGTAATTTATAACATAACAACACAGCTATAATTTACATTGTTATATTGAAATTAATTTTAAAAACATTAAACAAATTAAAATGTTCTATAAACCTAATGTGATGGTTATAAATAAGCAAAATAACACGTTTCCTTGCTAGACAAAGATGTTACGAACAAGGAAGTAGAGTGACATTTCTCGACTGTGGTCTGTATCAAAATAGAGTACGGTTATGAATAACAAATGACTTATTACTTCTGTAAATGACTTTACCTTCTCTGTGTCCATAGTTTGCCCTAAAGACACGTTCACGTTTGTGAGGTACAGTGACAGTTCAGCCATGTCTTCTTCAGCCTTTTCTGTTGCTTTCTTCGAGCTCTTCCTCCTAGAAACGCCAACCAGGAAGTGACGTCACATGTAAACAATTCCAGCGTAAATAGATCGCTTAGTTTTTAGTAACGTAAAATTCGCGAACACGCTGACAAATTTACAAAACTCGTTGTTATTAATACAAGTTAACACAAACATAAGTTTTATTCGGAGCTGCTCAATAAGAATTTTTGGATTACGTTTTATCTTGCTATTTACGTTTTATTTAGCTATTTATAGCTATTACTACTACAAACAAACAAACAAACAAATAAAAAACAGTTAAACCATAGTGATCATAAATAAAACTTGGTTTTGCTATAATACTCATGGTTTAAAAGGGTAGTTGGTGTAAAATTGTAAATATATAGATGGTAATCTGTCAAAAATGTTTGAAAGTTTTACTTTTTATTGAACAAAAATGCAATGCTTGTCCATTACAATAAATGCTAATAAAACTTCAAAAGCTAGGAGGAGATAAAAACAATATTCATTTATTTTCCTTCGGCTTAGCCCCTTTATCAGGGGTCACCACAAAGGAATGTACTGCCAACTTATCCAGTATATGTTTTACACTGTGGATGCCCATCCAGCTGCAACCCAGAACTGGGAAACATTCATATAAACTCATTCCAACACATACACTATAGCCAATTTAGTTTATTTATGTCACCTATGGCGCATGTCTTTGAACTGTGGAGGAAACCGGAGCACCTGCTGGAAACCCACACCAACACAGGGAGAACATACAAACTCCACACAGAAATGTTAACTCACCCAGCCGGGACTGTACCCAGAGACCTTCTTGCTGTGAGCCGACAGTGCTAACAACTGTTGTTCTGAACAATATTCTGGGGAATGTATTTGGATATACTATCTGAATAGTTACAACATTTTTGAATAGATAGAATATATTATTTATAAATAGATTATATTATAAATAGATATTTATTAGTTGGCTAAACAAATACCCAAATGCCATACTATTCTATTAGTTGGACTGGAGAAGACTTTAAAATTATACTAGGTGGAACAACTGATGAATGGCCACCAGGTTCACTTAAATAATCGTAATCTTAAAAGCTTCATCAATGAATTTTATCTTAGTGATATTTGGAGAAACAAATTTCCACATAATAAAACATGGAGCAATAAAACAGGGTCCAGCCAGCCCAGAATTGATTTCTGTCTAGTGTCTAAGAGCTTAAATAAAGATGATGTAGTAGTTGATATTGCTTCTATTCCACGAACAGATCATAAAACTATATGCATAAATATTAAATTCTCAAAAACAAGCTGTTTTATCAATGGATCTGGAAGTTTTAAAGTTTTACTATAATTAAAGCATGCATTGTTATTTTTTATCAGGGGTACACTGATTTATTTATTACATTTTTGTAGAAGTACAATGATAAAAGTTTATCCAGCTTTTTATAAACTTAATTGTATAGTGAAATATTTATACATCACAACTTTGAGCTCAGTCTATTAAGTTCTATAGGTCTAATGTAATTTGATGTGTAGTTTTAGGCATTATTAAGAAATATTCCCTCTCTTTACAGATCATACTTTTACACCGTTAACCACAGATTTTATCACCAATTTTTTTGACCCTCTTCTTTGTGTTAGACTGCAGTGTTCCTTACACACTTATTTAATTATTGTAATAAGTAATCCTGTTAGCCTCCTAATTAATAAGGAACATTTTTTAAAAAATAAAACGTATAAACATGAGGATTGTATAGTCTTAAAATCTAGATTTTTTGACCTAAGGATGTTTATTGATATTACATATAGGTAAAAATAAAATATACCTTAGCATCATTATGTTATTACAATTTCTTTTCTTTCATCTTTTCTTCTTTCATCCTTTAATTGTGTAAATAATAACAACTCATAAACTATAATAGCCTAATTTATAACTCTGTCAGATTATGCTTGCAAACAAGAGACTCATTTTGTGATTAATCTTTGACAAAGAAGTTTTCACATACAAAATAATTATTATGGCCTTGCCCAGATCAAGTCGAATCATAAAAACAATGGTTGTATTTTGTCTGCAACTCCAGTAAAGCGTGTTTGTATGGTTTTTGTATTGCTTAATAAATGGGGTTGCACCTCCTTTTTCCATGTTCTTTATGCATTTTGTTACACTTGTGACCCTGTAACTCTGAAATGAGAGTATCAGTACTTTCAGGAATTTTGTCCTTTCTTTTACAGAACAGTTGACTGAAAGTTTCTTCAAAATGCAAAAAAAAAAACCTCTTTTGGCTTCCTTAATTTTTTTAAAAAGTGCTGCTTACCATGAATATTTACTGCATTGATTAGAATCAGACTTTTAGAATCACACAATTTTTTTATATTTTATTTAGCCTACCAAAAATATAAAACAGTTTAATTACATTGTAAATGTAGTGATCATGTTTTTTTAGTATTGATTTTCATTTGAAGGACTAGTTTTAACCCTCTCAAGGCAGACGTTGCTAATTTGCAACAGTTAAAACCATTGATTTTGCCTGTTTCTAAAATTTTATTTGAGCCTGAAAGGGTTAAAACTCCATGTTTACTTTAAACCAAAGTTAGTTCCACAACACAATGGTGAACTTGTGGTTAACTACTATAATCCAAATTTTCATGCGTTTATTTGTAGCCTAGTAAACTATGTGAAGTTTATTCATAAACTTATGTTAAGAGGATCCCGTGCCTATGATTGACCACAGCTGGTCCTGCATTAGCATTGCATGTTCCACCAATTGCATGATTCCTAGCTCATTATAAATAACCAGAAGCTGCGTCCCAAATGGCATACTTATGCACTATTCTACGCCATTTTGTAGTATAAATAGTGTAAGTAGTGTGTTCACACTGAAAACTCTAAAAATAATAAGTGCACTTTAATTACCCGAATGATGCACTCATTCAGCTGCTAAAATTAAGTGTGTAATGATGGACACTTCACGCACTCAACGACCGCAGGTTTGCTTACGTAGCGGAAGGGGCGGAGCTATCGGACGCACATGTTGGATAACTTTATTTATTTTGGATGGTGAAAGCAAAATTCTCCTACGAGAGTGATTATAGCGCCTCCCGATGGTGAATGCGGTTATACTCACGGCAGGTTTTATTTGATAATTCTGTTGTTTATTTCATTGAATTGGCGACCGTCAAACGTCATCAGGGAAACTGTTTGAATTTCCGCTAAGTAAAAAAACATTAGTGTGCCATTTGGGACGACACTACATACATATACTATCCTATTGAGTGTGTAAGTGCATAAGTACATATCGCATGAGTGCATAGTGTATAGTGTGCCATTTGGGACGCAGCTAGAGTCTCTTACTTTAGATATTTTTGTCTCGAAGAATCCCTCCCTCCAGCCCTACTCCTCCCCTTTCCCTGATAGGGAGACACGGCAGCCAAGTGATTAGCACTGTTGCCTCACAGCAAGAATGTCACTGGTTCAAATACTTGTCCAGTAGACGTTTCTGCGCTGAGTTTACATGTTCTCCTTATGCACGTGTGGGTTTCCCAAGGGTTCTCCGGTGTGCTCCCACAGTCCAAAGATATGTGACAAAGGTAAATTGACCAAACCAAACTGGCACCATTGATGAGCTTTTATGTCGCAGTCACATTAAAGTTTGTGCGTGCAAAATTTTGTAGTACGGCGCTGTGAGAAGGGGCGGGATTAAACAAGATGATTAGACATTTAAAAAAGCGAGCAATTGGTCGAGAGGGGTCTGGATGCAGACCTGGTGCAGTGCAATCTGAGCTGCATCCAATGCTTTTTAATGGGCTCACCTAACCCCAACCCTAACCCTTCCCTTTACAGTGACGCCACTCGCTCCATTTGAGTACATTATATTTGACATTGCATCGCTGAATGATGCAATCTCAGCTTGCATCATAAAGAGTGCATCCAGATACTATTGTATTGGTCCATATTTTACATTTCTGTTGAGAGAGGTCATGTTTTGATCCTCGATTGATCTCGCGCACTCAAGTGATGTGGTTTTGCAGGTCACAGTTCACCAAGCTTGAAGTCTGCAATGCAGCGAACTGCGAAACTTGTCACAAGAGCTTGCATTTTCGGCCTGACGCATTCACATACGTATGAATGGAAGTCTACAGGGAGAAAAGTGTAGTGTGACCACAGCTTTAATCAGCAATCTCTAATCGCCTTCAACCATTGATAAGTAGGGGAGTTCTCGAGACCTACCTGATTGCAAACTCCCCTCTCACTTCACAAACTGGAGGGAGCCCCGGGCTCGAGGGACAGCATAGCAAACACGCTTTATAATCAATTATCAGCTAAGTGTGAACTCTTGAAGACTAATTTGATTCTTTGATTATTTTCAGGTCTCTACAAGTTCTTTACCATATGTCAGTGGTCCTCAAACTGCAGTACGTGTACCACTAGTGGTACGCAGGCTTTCTTCTAGTGGTACACGGAGGAATGAAATATGTCATGTACATGCTACACACATTTCAAAATTTATCAAAATGTATATATATATAATATGCCATATATGACATATAGCCAATGTTTCTGAGGTAATATGCCACGTTTTTTTTTTTAACTGTGCAGCTGCTTTACTGGGCCTGCTACTGTATTTCAATACTGCTCATTTTGGTGGTACTCGGAGAGACAATTTTTTCTGAGGTGGTACTTGATGAAAAAAGTTTGAGAACCACTGCTTTATGTGATCCTGGACCACAAAATCTGGCTTATGTTGCATGCATGTGTCAATGGCCCAAAATACACTGTATGGATCAAAATCCTCAATTTTTAATTTATGCCCAAAATTATTAGAATAGTTGTAGACTTATAAAAAGTAAATCTACTTCCACAAATATTTAAAAGTTTTTTTTATTAGTAATGTGCATTTATAAGAATGTAATTTGGACATATGTAAAGATGATTTATCATTATTTAGATTTTTTATCATATCCTAACGAAGTATACATCACTGAAAGCTTATTTATAGCGTTGTATTTATTTATTGAGCTTCAACTCTGAA